GGATTTTTGTGGATAAAAGACGTGCCCAAAATTTGTTTCCCTTCTCGCTAGCACCGTCCCTTCTGCGTGCCGTATAAGATGAAATCAACAGAGTCGTACTGGTGGTACATTGTTCATGATTTCCCATGCTCGACCGTCGGTTAATCTTGGCACTGTTGAGTATGTCTTGATTTTTGCTTCAGCTGATTGACCAAGATTGGTATAGCAGTAGTTATTTGACAGACTGACGTTTCGGTTTCGGCTGTTTCGTCTTCTTCAGAAGACGAAACAGACGAAACCAAAACCTTAGCATACCAAACTTATCATCTGCAAACTCTGAAGAAGGCGAAACAGCCGAAACGTTAGTCTCTCAAAATACTACTGTACCAATTTTGGTCAATCAGAAGCAAAACAATCAAAACAGAGTCTTATCTTCTTATTCTTCCTGTTTCGTATGATTTCTGAGAATTTGATCTAAAACGTATTTTTAAGCCCCAGTTCAAACCACTAGTGCCCGAGTTATTCTAATATTTCTTTCTTTCCCTTTGCCATGACTATGAATAATATGGAAATATGACGGAATATTTTCGTTTTCTTAGGCATTTTGCAATTTATGTATTGAATTTTTCTTGTCTTTTCCTTCTGATTCGCGTCCAACCATCGTCGTTGCAGATTGTACTAATATGATATTACTACTCTGAAGAAAATTCATAATTCTTACTGTCAAAGACATCGCTTTCGAAATTGTCACAGTGCGTCACACCTCTGAAGTCGCAGAAAATCTCTCATACACTTTTTTGGAAGTAAAAATTTTCTGCTCAGTCTGTAAATAGAGCTTAAGAGCTTTAGATAAAATTGATTTGTTGAGTTGCTCAACTACATGGTCGAAAGATAGGGAAGTAGAGAAAACAAGTAAAATTTACGAGAAATTCATTAGGTCTAAGCAGTTTTGGTTTCAGCTTCCGTTAATTTTTTGTTTTATTTGCTTTTTTAATTTTTGTTTTAGGATAGTCGCAATATTCACCCAACTTCTAATGATGTATCGAAAGATCGCACAGAGCTTCCTGTGGTAGTGTGGTAAGTTCATCTTGATTTTTTCCCGTCAAATTCGAAAAGAAATTTCTTCAGGCGCACATATCTTGTCGCTAATGAATGGGCCGAACTCCGTTGTGTACGGGCTACATCCTTGGGACTACAGATGCTCCTTGTTCTTATGCTCTTGGAGGCCTTCAATTTCATC